TCCTCACATCACAGTTTAGAATAACCCGCCCCTTCTTCGCACACAAACACACACAAAAACATTCCACCCACCCGACCCAGATTTTCTTATTTGTTTCTCGACTTTGCCAACTTCTGCATTATTCACAGCTTACTCTCCCGCACTGAGCGCCCATGGTTATCAATCGGTTACAATTGACTTCTGAGACAAAATGTTTCAATTTAAGCAGACACAAATGTGAAATTCAGACCACGAAATTGATTATATTGTCAATTAAATCAATCTTTTTTGAAACAAAAAAAAACATTTATAAACGATTATAACCCATTCTTTTTGTCATTGAATTGAAAAACCCTATCAAAATAACCCACTATTAGCGACTGTTTTTAAAGTAGCCTAATGTTTGTGACAAATTTATTAAATAGTTGTGTTGTTTCGATAAAAACTAGAAAGGCCTTGTCTACGAAAGGTTTTTTAAAATCAGGCTGCATGCACTTGGCACTGAAACGACTCGTGATATGAGCTAATTATTTTAGTATTTCATATCTAAGAGTTCATCGTTCTTTTATTTACAGTACCGGAAAGCCTCGCAGCTGATTATTTTGATAGCATACCGTTTTTTTGACGCTGATAAAGTTTTCTTGCGACCTGGGGTTGACTCCAAGTGGCTAAAAGAAAGCTTGGTGCGCTCAGTTGTATTCAATTTTTGTTACATTCTTCATGGTTTTTTTTCAGAAACTTGTAACAAACCTTAGGCAACGTTCAGATATTTGGAAGGTTTGCTCAAAATGGCAGATCAAGTGAAAACAGTTGAAGCATTTCATATCAAATGTATGTTATGCAACCGAATTGTTCTTGATGAGAAATTTTTGCCTGCTAAAAATGTCGTTGCGAATCAGTTCAATTGAAGTGTACTGGAGTAAATGTGCCAGCATCTAGTTCGTCTTATATGGACTTCTGTTATGGTAATGTATGGAATGTGCCTAGGTCATCAATAACTTGTTCATCGGCAACTGTTCTGATATTCTCGAAGCATCAACAGGCGACTGGCAAACGATGGATTGTCTAACAAGCGAGGTAAAGGAAACAAAAAAAAACAAATAGAAAATGTTTTAGTATTTGACAAAGATGAAAAGCAAGGTGGTGCAGAGAATCCGCTAGCTTTCAGTGGGCTATTGACTAGAGGCGAACCAAAGCAGCTAAGAATGAAACAAGTTAATCAAGGAACAGAGAAGCCCAGCAATGATTTTTATGTCCGGAATACATTTTTATGTCGATTAATATGATATTGGAGTACTTTGTCAAGTAGTGATTGAACTTTGCAAAAAAGGGAGTAAACCTCATAGCAATTCGAATGGTATCGAAGAAAACTCGAGAGCTGAAGAGTTTCACTGCATTTTTTCTAAGACTTTAACGATGCTATTAAAACTTGTTGTTTCTCGCCCAATATATTTGTGTTCCGACTCATTAAAGATGCTAAGACGTGGTTGAAAACTTTGAAGGCTTAACTAAAAACCAGAAAAGTGGAATATGTCAATTGTTGTCTGTGGATTGTTAGATCTCTCCGAAAAAATTTTCGGATGTACGAAGTCTCGTTAAATCATTTGATCTTGTTTTTCGCCTCATCAAGACGGGGATTATAGATGAACAGATTGATAATTCTATTCTAGTTGACTCTATCCCAAAAATGTTCAAGTTTTTTAGTGCTAATAAGAACAATAAAAGAGAAAGTGGGTTACTTCTAGCTTACGTATATTTGTTTTTTCTGATGAAATACCCAAGATCGAGAGTTTTGAAATTGAAAATTTGCTCTTTTTTTTAGAAAATATAGCGGGCAGAGAACCGATTATCGGTTGCCTTCTTTATCGGCCCTTGTTGGCAAGTTTTGTGGCTTTCTGGTCGGAATTTTCTAATGTAGTAACGCAATATCACTATGGATTCGAATTAATAAATAATCTAGGTGGTTTACCACTCGTACCGACAAACCTCATGACTAAACGACAACGAAGTTCCTCGAGACCATCCCGGCTCGAGACATGAGTTGAATTGATGGCGTATTTTCCCACTCATTGCTGTGCGTGGACATACACGTGATCAAATTTTTTGTTAGCTACTTTTAAGCAAAAACGATATTTTCGCTGGTGATTGTAAGCTCAGTGATCACTACTTTGTGTTTTTTGTATTCTTACGATTATCGAAAAAACAAAATGATTAATCAGGTGTTTATGGAGTTCAATTATTGTACCGCCAGCGGACTCGAAATGGAACTGAAGACAAGATTTAGCTCTAGGATTCTGGAACTTTCATTGAAAACAAAGACAAGACAATGTCTATCCACTTACTTTTTATGAAAACGGTTCACAACGAAAGAATATTTTGATTGATGATAATGTATTGGCTCAGACACGTATCACAGGAAGAGCGAATCGGCAAACGAAAACTGTTTTCTCCACAAATATTTTGTCAAAATACAAGCACTGAGCTTGTGAGTTTTTAGAGCTTCTCGAAAAATAGCTCCTCTTTTCTGCAACGCTTGTTTCCAAGCTGGTGTGCAAATCAGTAAAGCATGTGATTATTCCGAAAAGCTCTAACTCCTCCAAAATTTATGGGGAAGATTTTGCATGCTTCTTGAAATGAAATCTTCGAATGTTTATGGCGTCCAAAAAAAAGCATCTGCATTTTTAAAAATCGCTCGTCGCACATACAATTTTCTGCGAGTTTCCTCAAATTGAACGTGATCAATTGATTATGCTGGTTGAAATAATCTCGAAAACGGCAGATGTTCTAAATGGAAAACATTCAAAATGACTTTATTTTGCAGATGATTTGTTGAAATGTTTGAATTATTCACTTAAAACAGGCGAAGTTTCAGACCTGCTGCACATTAGCCCTTGAGGAAAACATCACCGAAGAGCAATGAATTCGACAAAATTTCAAAAATTACGAAAACTTTGTAGCCAAAAAATTGATAAAATATCTCACTGGTAGTTGTCCTTTCGACTCAAACCAGTCTGCTGATTTATTTAAACATTCAATTAAATTAGCACTGCGTAAAATCACAGTTGATGTAGCTGCAATGATCAAGGAAAGAGGAAAAATTGCTTTTGTTTGTTTTGACCTCAGCACTTTCTTTGATACTCATAGTTGTCCTTTGTCTTTTGTCAATTTTGCAGTTGTCACTGTTGTCTTTTGTCAATTTTGCAAAACAGATTGGGCATAAGATGTGAAGTACTCACCTGGTTTCACAACTACGTAGTGAAAGAACAGATGTTGTGATATGTGAGTGAGGATGAGACATCGTCAGGGCAAAAATGAAGAGAGGGGTGCCAGCAGTCACAGTACTGGGAACTCTTTTGTTCATTATTGATCGTTTCGTTGTTGGCAATGTGTTGAGTTAAATGAAGGTACCACGAGTATGCTGACTACAGCCAATTGTAAATAACCTCTGATCGATGTTGAAGGCTCACGGTAGTGATGATTATAAAAGTTATTGGTCGGTTAAGATATGTGATTAGCTCTTTTTTTGAGCTAATCTTTTTTTGAGCTAATTGAGCTCTTTTGCAGAGAAAAATAACCTGCTCGTCAAATCAAAGAAATCAAAACTAAAGATATACAAATTTAGAAAAATACTATCTAACAGGTAAAATATGAAAAGTAAGATTTTATGAAACAATAGGCTACAACAACTGCACTAAGCAACAAAAAATTAAAATTAAGGCGAATTTGCGTTTTTTCATCAATATCTTCTCAAAAATCAATTATGGTCGAATATAAATGATGATAATGGATTATTTTGACGTAAAAATATTACGATTGTAATCCATGTTTGTTAGTTATAAATGATTTATTTTGAAAAATGACACTATAATTGATTATGATCCTTGACCACTCAAATTTTTTAGGTGGGTAAGGTTTGTGATAAGTGTCGTTTGTTTTGCGATTATTTTCTCAAGTGGAATTTAATTTTATATAATTGTTTTTGATTTCGCATGAGCCGCGAACATCGCAGTATTGTGTGAAATTTGCAAATTTATTGAAATTGCAAACTAGCAAAAATGTCGCACAACTTATGTTAAATGTAAAAAAAAAATAATTTTGAAATGTAGCAATTTCAATTCAAATTTTGTAGTAACGATCAACCAAAAAAATAAATTCAAAATGACTTTCAATGAAAATTTGAAGTATAATGGCGTAAAACCCATAATTAATATCTTTTCTGGGTTAACCTCCATAGATTGAAATTGCTAGTCGTACAATTCCATAAATTTAGTCTATAAAAAATACTAGTCAGAAAATTTTCATACGTTTTGCTAAAATGGTGTCATTGAAATTTTTCTCGTTTTGGCAAGAAAAAGTTTCTCACTTTGGCATTAGAATCATAAATACGTTGGTGGCTCTCTTTCCTTTTCCCCCAACTCACATAACAATCAATTTTATGGTGTAATGAGGTGTTTTACAAGGTTGTCGTGTTTTTCATGGCCTAATTAGTTCGCATGCCAATTTTCGTAACATTCTGATAACAGAAATAAAATTTTATTTGTAAAATTTTTCAGCTGAGGGAAAAGGAAAAAGAGGCTTCTGCTGTATTATCATAGATCAAAATGAAAAATTTTTAGGCCAAACAATTTCTAAACCAATTTTTTTCTCCTGGGGGATCAATTCTTGGATCTTTTGTAGCCGGCAAGTTCTCTCACGGCTATATTAACCTGACACGTGTCTACTCAAACTGCAATCTTGTTTCCCTGTACGATTCTGTATTTTACAATAATAACTACTGGTTATTGGCTGTCGGGGAGGAAGTTTATGCTCTATGAAAAAGTACCAAATACTATTTGAGACTATATTCTCAAACAGTTTTTTGTACTTTTTAAGTTATATTTTATATTTAGTTAAATATATTTAAATAAATCGAGTTATAGGAACAAATGTTGTTTTTGAGACTGCAAAAATATGTATAAAATCAATATTGAAGATGTTCGAAAACAAAAACAAATTGTGGAATATTTTTTAAACAGACTTACTTTTTGATCATTGTTTCCTGATTGAAAATAGTCTCTTCGAAAGCCTTGCTTGAGTTGTCAAATCTCTCCTTCTCCGCTCTCTCGAACTCTTTCGTCTTGCGGTCCCGCTCTTCAATTTCATCGCGCAGTTCTTGCTCTAAAAGTTGGAAATTGTCTTTTAGCTTTGCGATCTCCGATTCCCGTGCTGAGTTTTTCATTCGGCTGGTGTTCTTCAGAGCCTCGATTTCCGACAGTAGTCGTCTCAGTTCGTGGTCAGCGGCTGATGTGATCGTCTTTCGGTTGGGGTCGTGGAAGAGACTGTGTTGCTTCTGACCTCTGATGACCTCAAGGTCAAGGTGCAACTTCATGATTTGAGCGTGCTGATCTTGAATCATGTCCTTCAACTTGCTAGACTGAAAAAAATGGACCAACTTACAACATTTTCCCCGCTTTATTGAATTAAATCAAGTTAAGATTTTCCGACCCGTAAAGTAGTGCCATACTGCTACTGCATTAGCAGTAATTGATTTATGTACTACCAACCTGCGGTGGTATAGTTATTATCATTATGGTGTGTTCAAGGTCACTGTGCGAAATGACATTGACACACGGTTGAGAACTCAGAGTTTTCGATTCTGATTTATCTCTCAGTAACTAATTCAAAAGAAAGAAAAAGAAAACTTAATTCAATACTTCCGAATACATTATTGAATTATCATTAGTTTTCCCAAGATACCGCATAGGATATCACTTGGCGCAGCCAGCAGGATTTGCAGCTCAGGAAAATTGGACGGATATGGGAATACCCGTATTTTGGGCGCCAGCAAATTTAGACCCTCCGTGGCAGTTTAAAATCTGGTTTGAACAACTTCTAATGGCAGTAACTGTGAAAGAAAACGTAAATCCAGAGGTTATATTAGAAGCACCAAAGTACATATTAGAAGGACCACCTCCTCGACCAGAAACACGACGAGAGGGAGAGACTGAAGCTGCGACGACTGCTAGGAATCTTAGAAATAAGTTAGCAAGTGATAGAGTAATGCTGGAAAATGAAGAGAGAAGAACAAGAGGCCCAAGATTTGGTCACAAGGTTTTCTACAACAAAGTGCAAAAGAAATTGGTATCCAGAATATTTCTGTCACTTGGTACAGAGGGAACGAAACGATTTCTACAGAAGAGTCCACATGTCGAAATATCCAAAATGTCGTTCAGGGATATCACAGAACTTGCAGAAGTCTCGTTCCAAAAGGTAAAATGTGTAACATATGAAAGATATAAATTGTTCACACGAATGCAAGAATCCGGGGAATCACTGGAGGCATTTCATGCAGCGCTAACTGCGCAAGCAGCTCGATCAGAATTGGAAACATTGAAAAGCGAGATAGTCCGTGATCTATTCATTTGAAAAATGAAAAACATGACATTACAGGACACGTTGACATTTGAAACTCTAGATCCAGAAGAAGTTCTGAAGAGGGCAATAAAATTCGAACATAGTAAATTAACTACAATGGCATTTCAAAAGACAAATGCTGCGGCAACAGGAGGAACAAGTAACAACTATAACTCTGGAGTGAGAATAAAACAAGAACCTGTGATGACAGTTAGGAATTCGTCAGGAACAACAAAGAATCAATATAACAAAAGGGAAACAAATAAACGACAGAACAAAAACAAAAATTCTAACATGAAAGCAAAACCATGCAACAGATGTGGAAGAATATTTGATCAGGGACAATTGAAAAAATGTTCCGCGATGGGAAAAACTTGTAAGAATTGTGGTAAACCCAATCATTTTGCAAAAATGTGTAGATCTCAACAAGTAAGTGAGGTTGCGGAAGAATCGAAGAGGAATGTGATCAGATAAGCGAAAACTTTGGGTCAAGTAGCGATTTTGGAGTAATGTCAATACAAACACATCAGACCGAGAACGAAAGAATCTCAAAATATGTGAAAAACCGAAGCAGTGAAACTAGGAAGAAATCAAATGGAGAGATGATACAAGTCCAGAAAATCGACTCAATTCGAGACCCAAAGCTAAAAAGAGTAAAATCAATAAAGGCTATGGTACGAATAGGTAACCAAATAATACAATTGACGGTGGATACTGGAAGCCCAGTCTCTTTCCTAAATTGGGCGACGGCAAGGGAAATAATGGACAAATCAAGCAAAGTAAGATTCATTCCTTCGGAAAAACTGAATTTACGTACAAAATTAGTCGATTACAACAAACAATCGATCTGCATATTAGGGGCGTTGAAGACGAATCTTCGGTCGGCAGGCTGGGAAGCGATAGGTGCTACATTTCTTGTGACAGAACGTAAGACCAGATGCATAATGGGTTTAGATCTACAAGGACAAGTGGGGATAGTTACTACACAAAAACCAGCTCCAAAAGAACTTACCAGTTTTGAAGTGCTCATGTACGAGCAGTCGGAAGGTTGGAAAGAAAATATTTTTCAATAAACTCAGAAATTTATTTGAAAGACAAGGAAATTCAAAAAACCAAAACCACATTGTAAGTTCGAAATTTAAGTACCCCCGATGTCCAATTCAAGAAAAGGGGAGAAGAGTTCCAATTCATATACAGGATAAAATTGGCAAAGAGATTGAAAAACTGTTGACAGAAGGTCATATCACAAAGCTTGACAAATGTGCGAGCGATTGCTTTATTGCCCCGATTGTGATAACAGTAAAAAATGACGATTCGATAAAATTGGCGATGGACGCAAAACCAATAAATAGACAACTGTTCAAAAATAAGTACCAAATACCCAACGTCGATGAATTCATCGATGGAGTAAGTCAAATTGTTACTGAAATCAAAAGTGGCACATTTTTTTTACGGTGTTAGACTTAAAGTACGCGTATAGTCAATTAAAATTGGCTGCAGATACAGCTAAAAAGTGTAACTTTAATATGGTCGGCGGAAAGGCTACCGGGACATATAGATTTCTTACAGGGTTTTTTGGATTAGCTGACATGCAAGCTGAATTCCAAAAAGCCATAGAATGAACTATCAATCACGCCAAGAACACATTTTGTTTTCTGGATGACATTCATATCGTGTCAAAGGGCAATGAAATCGAACATGGAAAATTGGTGGAAACGGTTTTTAAGAAATTGGATGATGAAAAACTGGCATTGAAAATATCGAAATGTGCATTTTTCAAACAACAGGTGAATTGGTTGGGACATCACCTTTCAGAATCAGGGGTCAGTCCAAAATTTACCAAAACGGAAGCGATCCTAAATTTAAACCCATCGAAATCACTTAAACATTTAAGATCATTTCTGGGCAGCATAAATCATCTAACGAAATTTATACCCAACGCGGCAAGTTTAACTGAGAAACTGAGGCCACTTCTCAAAGAAGAGAATCAAAAGAAAAAGTTGAAAAAGATGAAGTTCCCAGTAAAAAAGTTCGACTGGGGGAATGAAGACACTGTGGTATTTGATGCCATAAAAACAGCAGTAGCGAACATTACAAAAGTACACTACTACGACGCTAACCGAGAAACAAGAGTTCAGTGTGATGCAAGCCATGATGGCTTGGGAGCTACGTTGGAACAACAAAAAGAGGAAAGTTTGTGGGTTTCAATCTCATTCGCATCCCGGTATTTAAATTCACAAGAAAAAAAGATATTCAACAAACAAATTGGAGCTACTGGCAGTTGTTTGGGCAGTAGACAGATACAAACATTACCTCTTAGGCAAACCATTTATCATTGCAACAGATCACAAAGCACTCACATCAGCATTAGATGGTAATAAGTCTAATAAGACCTATCAATCTCGTTTGACCCGGTGGGTCGATCGATTGTTGCCATATCAATTTAAAATAGTTCATCTTCCGGGGAGGGACATGGGTATAGTTGACTAATTATCGCGTGATCCTTTTAATGATCCTTGGCCGGAATCAGAATTAGACGAAAAGTTTGTAGTGGCAACAATAACCTCGTTTCATGAAGCATTAGACTGGGGGTCGCATTGGGTCGCTCGACCGGAACGAAAACGTTCTAGTATGTTCTAGAAGGAATGTTGCGAAACAGTCACCGATTAATGGTTGCCATGACAACCAAAACGGTCAAAAACGAACAAAGCTCGACCGGAACGAGAAAAAACAATTTTCACGACTGCCAAAACAGCTAAACACAACATTTCAACAGAAACCAATCATTTTTTGTCAAGTCAACTCAGCAAACAGTCGTACCCAGAGAAAATAGTTTCCAAAATTCAGAATAGAGAAAAAACAGACTCGAGGAACGAGATGTCAGAAAAATTCAATCGATCTTACGACTGGTGGTCTGATACACCACAGGACTGGCGCAATAACTAAAGAGAAGAGAGCATTCTGGACCCAAAATGGAACTGTTCAATGTCGAATACAAACGAGTTCTCTGAAGAAGAGGAAGTCACGGAAACATTACAACGCACAAGGAAGATAATTCGCGGAGGCAGGAAAAATAGAGATAGTTCGGACAGTGAGACAAGAAACCCATCACGAGTTAAATGGCAACTCCAACCAGAACAACAGAGAGGCTACTTTCGTTCTGGCAGCTGGTTGGGGGAGAACCAAACATACCGGGGAGCATTAACAGGGAGTTAGTGGCCTACACAGAGGAAACTAGAGACATTCCAGAAGAAAGTCAAGGACCAATCAGCATAACACCAGCTACGTCGAATGGGAGAAGATTGAGTGAAGTGCAAGTAATTGAGGTGGATCTGACAACCGCAGAAGACATCGAAAGCGATCAAGAGGTATGTGCCATCGAACCAACTAAGCCATCCAGCAAACCGAAACTGCAGAAGCAGCAACAAGAGGAGGCACTAGACAACTTATCGAAATTGTTCGATAAAATTTTACTGGCCAAATTGACAACTGAAGATTCCTGGATGGATTGCCTCAGACTAGAAATAGAGAGAGGAGATAAACAGGGCTTCGAGTTGATGGGACCCTACACGAACCCATTGTGGTCACAGATGGCGGTGCAAGATGATTGCATCTTGGTGAACAATCGACTAGCGGTTCCCCTTCAATTGAGACAATCTGTACTTAAAAGGACTCACCGAGGACATCCGAACCAAGAGGCTATGTTAGGAATGTCACAATACTTGTGGTGGCCGCATATGAACAAAGACACAGTGAATCTAGCGGAAGAGTGTCGTAGTTGCACCAGATATGGTAAGAATGTAAAATACCTTATTCCAAAAAATGCGTCAAAACCACTGTCACTGCTCACGCAGCCAGGTCAGGAAGTACAATTAGATTACGCGAGACCATTAGAAAACCACAGAGGGAAAAAGATCTAGCTCCTAGTAGCTATAGATAGATTCTCAAAATTCCCGTCGGTGAAAGTTACGAAATCCACAAGCGGGAAGTGTACGGTGAAATTCTTGAGATCCTATATAGACACACATGGCATTCCGGAATCAATACGCTCCGACCAAATTTCAGGATTTAAGGGGAAAACACTTAAAAAAAAGTTTTGTACGGACCTTAACATCGAACAAAAATTCTGTCCCGTGGGGGACCATCGAGGTTGCGGCTTAGTAGAACGAACAATTCAAACCATAAAGAGAAGATTGGGGGTATTGTTGCTAGAAGAAAACAATAAATCGATCAAATTATGTCTTAGTACCATAAAGCGAGATTTACGGTGGAACAAGCAGAAAACGATACAAGTATCTCCATTTCAAGCACACTTTGGCAGACTACCAAAAAACGAATTTATAATTTTAAGGGATAAGTTTATAAACAATTCTGACTATTTGGAAAAACAACACTTGGAACGATCGGCATTGACAGCATCACAATTGAAACGAAGAATTGATCAATCACGAGAGAATCTAAAGATAGTTGGAAAAAGGGAACTCAGCAGGGACACCAGTCCGCTGCATAAGCAACAAGTGCATTCGGACAGGGATCGTCAAAGAGCCAAGGCCCTTAAGGAACTACTGGAGGCGAACGCCCGCTGGAATCATGAGAGAAGAGATGCTGCAAAAAATGACGTGAGGCAGATCGTTGACGAGACCGGACTACTAAACCCTGAGCTACGAAAGGAGATGATATACTCCTGGGAAAAGGGGTTTATCGAAGATAAAGAAGTAGAACACATTAAGTCTCTGCCGAAAACGATCTTGAGAAAGGATCCATTACGGAAGAGCGGACAGGCCCTGACGAAGCAATTGAAGGGCAGAAAAGCGACTGAAACGGATTCAACGATCAAGGCGACAACTGGATCTATATATCGGAAATCGGATATCGCTCAAACGAGGACGTCTTTGACACACGAGGAACCGAGGAGTGAAAGTAAAAGCCCATCGGTGGAGCCAACTAAGAAATTTCAGAGAATCAGTTCCCCTGAAGTTCTAGAGGACATTGGGTCAGGCCGATTCTGTGAACCCGATAGATTGATTTCAGCAGAGTCAAACAGTTGTAACTTCAAAGGATACGGACGCTGGAGGGGTTCTAAACTTAGCGATTAAGAGAGCAAAACCGACCACGGCGGGTCCCAGTTCGTCGGCAGGTCCAAAATTGCCGGAAGAGATCGCCAGGAAGAAGGGTGATAAGTAAACAAAAGAAAAAAGAACACAAGATAAACAGAACAGCCTTACAGGACAAACTGCTATAGCAGTTGATCGGAGTATGGAACAATCAACGTCAAATTCGGAGACATTGAAAAACGACGTTCACGCAAGCTCTACTCTAAAAACTAAACAGAAGACGAAACTGAAATGTATCGATTCTCAAACATGTCCGGAGGATATCTTAGACACATTTCAAAACAGGAATTTGGCACCAGCGGAGTGGGAGAGGTTTGCAGACCAACTCCTGAAAAGGGGGGTCCAAAGAGTAGCGGACGATCTTAGAGGAAATGCCCAACCAGTATCGGAAAAGGACACAGCATTTGAGCCTCCTCAAGGAGTTTCGGACGATTCAAGCGCCGAAGAGTCGGGGGTCAGACGAAGTTCCAGACAGACGAAAAATAAAGAACCTAAGCGTTTTGGCGATCCAATAAAAACATTCCATTAAAGAAATTTCAGAGGAACTGTCAGGGGGCACTACTCAAGGCGGCACTCCAAAAAAAACCGGAAGAGGCTAACAGACTTCCAAGAACGAAGTGATCGGCCGTAGAGTCGAAACTACGAATGTTAGAGCGACATTTATTCCGGCGAAAATTCGGTTATGCAACGTTGGACAAAAGAGTGGACTGGAATGCGTGCTGGAGAATAGAACTTGAAGAAAATTAGGGAATGACTAATCTTACAAAAATCCAAACTCTTTTTAACATAAATTATTCCATTTATATTGAATAATTTATTTCCTCTCGAGGGGGGATGTCATACTGCTACTGCATTAGCAGTAATTGATTTATGTAGTACCAAAGTGTGGTGGTATAGTTATTAACATTATGGTGTGTTCAAGGTCACTTTGTGAAATGACATTGACACACGGTTGAGAACGGCTGAGTTTTCGATTCTGATTTATCTCTCAGTAACTAATTCAAAAGAAAGAAAAAGAAAACTTAATTCAATACTTCCGAATACATTATTGAATTATCACTAGTTTTCCCAAGATACCGCATAGCATATCACAAGTAGTCTTAGCTCTGCGAGTGAAATGCTTGATTCTGTTTAGCAGTGTTTTCGTACTTTTTAAGTTATATTTTATATTTAGTTAAATATATTTAAATAAATCGAGTTATAGGAACAAATGTTGTTTTTGAGACTGCAAAAATATGTATAAAATCAATATTGAAGATGTTCGAAAACAAAAACAAATTGTGGATTATTTTTTAAACAGACTTACTTTTTGATCATTGTTTCCTGATTGAAAATAGTCTCTTCGAAAGCCTTGCTTGAGTTGTCAAATCTCTCCTTCTCCGCTCTCTCGAACTCTTTCGTCTTGCGGTCCCGCTCTTCAATTTCATCGCGCAGTTCTTGCTCTAAAAGTTGGAAATTGTCTTTTAGCTTTGCGATCTCCGATTCCCGTGCTGAGTTTTTCATTCGGCTGGTGTTCTTCAGAGCCTCGATTTCCGACAGTAGTCGTCTCAGTTCGTGGTCAGCGGCTGATGTGATCGTCTTTCGGTTGGGGTCGTGGAAGAGACTGTGTTGCTTCTGACCTCTGATGACCTCAAGGTCAAGGTGCAACTTCATGATTTGAGCGTGCTGATCTTGAATCATGTCCTTCAACTTGCTAGACTGAAAAAAATGGACCAACTTACAACATTTTCCCCGCTTTATTGAATTAAATCAAGTTAAGATTTTCCGACCCGTAAAGTAGTGCCATACTGCTACTGCATTAGCAGTAATTGATTTATGTACTACCAACCTGCGGTGGTATAGTTATTATCATTATGGTGTGTTCAAGGTCACTGTGCGAAATGACATTGACACACGGTTGAGAACTCAGAGTTTTCGATTCTGATTTATCTCTCAGTAACTAATTCAAAAGAAAGAAAAAGAAAACTTAATTCAATACTTCCGAATACATTATTGAATTATCATTAGTTTTCCCAAGATACCGCATAGGATATCACTTGGCGCAGCCAGCAGGATTTGCAGCTCAGGAAAATTGGACGGATATGGGAATACCCGTATTTTGGGCGCCAGCAAATTTAGACCCTCCGTGGCAGTTTAAAATCTGGTTTGAACAACTTCTAATGGCAGTAACTGTGAAAGAAAACGTAAATCCAGAGGTTATATTAGAAGCACCAAAGTACATATTAGAAGGACCACCTCCTCGACCAGAAACACGACGAGAGGGAGAGACTGAAGCTGCGACGACTGCTAGGAATCTTAGAAATAAGTTAGCAAGTGATAGAGTAATGCTGGAAAATGAAGAGAGAAGAACAAGAGGCCCAAGATTTGGTCACAAGGTTTTCTACAACAAAGTGCAAAAGAAATTGGTATCCAGAATATTTCTGTCACTTGGTACAGAGGGAACGAAACGATTTCTACAGAAGAGTCCACATGTCGAAATATCCAAAATGTCGTTCAGGGATATCACAGAACTTGCAGAAGTCTCGTTCCAAAAGGTAAAATGTGTAACATATGAAAGATATAAATTGTTCACACGAATGCAAGAATCCGGGGAATCACTGGAGGCATTTCATGCAGCGCTAACTGCGCAAGCAGCTCAATCAGAATTGGAAACATTGAAAAGCGAGATAGTCCGTGATCTATTCATTTGAAAAATGAAAAACATGACATTACAGGACACGTTGACATTTGAAACTCTAGATCCAGAAGAAGTTCTGAAGAGGGCAATAAAATTCGAACATAGTAAATTAACTACAATGGCATTTCAAAAGACAAATGCTGCGGCAACAGGAGGAACAAGTAACAACTATAACTCTGGAGTGAGAATAAAACAAGAACCTGTGATGACAGTTAGGAATTCGTCAGGAACAACAAAGAATCAATATAACAAAAGGGAAACAAATAAACGACAGAACAAAAACAAAAATTCTAACATGAAAGCAAAACCATGCAACAGATGTGGAAGAATATTTGATCAGGGACAATTGAAAAAATGTTCCGCGATGGGAAAAACTTGTAAGAATTGTGGTAAACCCAATCATTTTGCAAAAATGTGTAGATCTCAACAAGTAAGTGAGGTTGCGGAAGAATCGAAGAGGAATGTGATCAGATAAGCGAAAACTTTGGGTCAAGTAGCGATTTTGGAGTAATGTCAATACAAACACATCAGACCGAGAACGAAAGAATCTCAAAATATGTGAAAAACCGAAGCAGTGAAACTAGGAAGAAATCAAATGGAGAGATGATACAAGTCCAGAAAATCGACTCAATTCGAGACCCAAAGCTAAAAAGAGTAAAATCAATAAAGGCTATGGTACGAATAGGTAACCAAATAATACAATTGACGGTGGATACTGGAAGCCCAGTCTCTTTCCTAAATTGGGCGACGGCAAGGGAAATAATGGACAAATCAAGCAAAGTAAGATTCATTCCTTCGGAAAAACTGAATTTACGTACAAAATTAGTCGATTACAACAAACAATCGATCTGCATATTAGGGGCGTTGAAGACGAATCTTCGGTCGGCAGGCTGGGAAGCGATAGGTGCTACATTTCTTGTGACAGAACGTAAGACCAGATGCATAATGGGTTTAGATCTACAAGGACAAGTGGGGATAGTTACTACACAAAAACCAGCTCCAAAAGAACTTACCAGTTTTGAAGAGCTCATGTACGAGCAGTCGGAAGGTTGGAAAGAAAATATTTTTCAATAAACTCAGAAATTTATTTGAAAGACAAGGAAATTCAAAAAACCAAAACCACATTGTAAGTTCGAAATTTAAGTACCCCCGATGTCCAATTCAAGAAAAGGGGAGAAGAATTCCAATTCATATACAGGATAAAATTGGCAAAGAGATTGAAAAACTGTTGACAGAAGGTCATATCACAAAGCTTGACAAATGTGCGAGCGATTGCTTTATTGCCCCGATTGTGATAACAGTAAAAAATGACGATTCGATAAAATTGGCGATGGACGCGAAACCAATAAATAGACAACTGTTCAAAAATAAGTACCAAATACCCAACGTCGATGAATTCATCGATGGAGTAAGTCAAATTGTTACTGAAATCAAAAGTGGCACATTTTTTTTACGGTGTTAGACTTAAAGTACGCGTATAGTCAATTAAAATTGGCTGCAGATACAGCTAAAAAGTGTAACTTTAATATGGTCGGCGGAAAGGCTACCGGGACATATAGATTTCTTACAGGGTTTTTTGGATTAGCTGACATGCAAGCTGAATTCCAAAAAGCCATAGAATGAACTATCAATCACGCCAAGAACACATTTTGTTTTCTGGATGACATTCATATCGTGTCAAAGGGCAATGAAATCGAACATGGAAAATTGGTGGAAACGGTTTTTAAGAAATTGGATGATGAAAAACTGGCATTGAAAATATCGAAATGTGCATTTTTCAAACAACAGGTGAATTGGTTGGGACATCACCTTTCAGAATCAGGGGTCAGTCCAAAATTTACCAAAACGGAAGCGATCCTAAATTTAAACCCATCGAAATCACTTAAACATTTAAGATCATTTCTGGGCAGCATAAATCATCTAACGAAATTTATACCCAACGCGGCAAGTTTAACTGAGAAACTGAGGCCACTTCTCAAAGAAGAGAATCAAAAGAAAAAGTTGAAAAAGATGAAGTTCCCAGTAAAAAAGTTCGACTGGGGGAATGAAGACACTGTGGTATTTGATGCCATAAAAACAGCAGTAGCGAACATTACAAAAGTACACTACTACGACGCTAACCGAGAAACAAGAGTTAAGTGTGATGCAAGCCATGATGGCTTGGGAGCTACGTTGGAACAACAAAAAGAGGAAAGTTTGTGGGTTTCAATCTCATTCGCATCCCGGTATTTAAATTCACAAGAAAAAAAGATATTCAACAAACAAATTGGAGCTACTGGCAGTTGTTTGGGCAGTAGACAGATACAAACATTACCTCTTAGGCAAACCATTTATCATTGCAACAGATCACAAAGCACTCACATCAGCATTAGATGGTAATAAGTCTAATAAGACCTATCAATCTCGTTTGACCCGGTGGGTCGATCGATTGTTGCCATATCAATTTAAAATAGTTCATCTTCCGGGGAGGGACATGGGTATAGTTGACTAATTATCGCGTGATCCTTTTAATGATCCTTGGCCGGAATCAGAATTAGACGAAAAGTTTGTAGTGGCAACAATAACCTCGTTTCATGAAGCATTAGACTGGGGGTCGCATTGGGTCGCTCGACCGGAACGAAAACGTTCTAGTATGTTCTAGAAGGAATGTTGCGAAACAGTCACCGATTAATGGTTGCCATGACAACCAAAACGGTCAAAAACGAACAAAGCTCGACCGGAACGAGAAAAAACAATTTTCACGACTGCCAAAACAGCTAAACACAACATTTCAACAGAAACCAATCATTTTTTGTCAAGTCAACTCAGCAAACAGTCGTACCCAGAGAAAATAGTTTCCAAAATTCAGAATAGAGAAAAAACAGACTCGAGGAACGAGATGTCAGAAAAATTCAATCGATCTTACGACTGGTGGTCTGATACACCACAGGACTGGCGCAATAACTAAAGAGAAGAGAGCATTCTGGACCCAAAATGGAACTGTTCAATGTCGAATACAAACGAGTTCTCTGAAGAAGAGGAAGTCACGGAAACATTACAACGCACAAGGAAGATAATTCGCGGAGGCAGGAAAAATAGAGATAGTTCGGACAGTGAGACAAGAAACCCATCACGAGTTAAATGGCAACTCCAACCAGAACAACAGAGAGGCTACTTTCGTTCTGGCAGCTGGTTGGGGGAGAACCAAACATACCGGGGAGCATTAACAGGGAGTTAGTGGCCTACACAGAGGAAACTAGAGACATTCCAGAAGAAAGTCAAGGACCAATCAGCATAACACCAGCTACGTCGAATGGGAGAAGATTGAGTGAAGTGCAAGTAATTGAGGTGGATCTGACAACCGCAGAAGACATCGAAAGCGATCAAGAGGTATGTGCCATCGAACCAACTAAGCCATCCAGCAAACCGAAACTGCAGAAGCAGCAACAAGAGGAGGCACTAGACAACTTATCGAAATTGTTCGATACAATTTTACTGGCCAAATTGACAACTGAAGATACCTGGATGGATTGCCTCAGACTAGAAATAGAGAGAGGAGATAAACAGGGCTTCGAGTTGATGGGACCCTACACGAACCCATTGTGGTCACAGATGGCGGTGCAAGATGATTGCATCTTGGTGAACAATCGACTAGCGGTTCCCCTTCAATTGAGACAATCTGTACTTAAAAGGACTCACCGAGGACATCCGAACCAAGAGGCTATGTTAGGAGTGTCACAATACTTGTGGTGGCCGCATATGAACAAAGACACAGTGAATCTAGCGGAAGAGTGTCGTAGTTGCACCAGATATGGTAAGAATGTAAAATACCTTATTCCAAAAAATGCGTCAAAACCACTGTCACTGCTCACGCAGCCAGGTCAGGAAGTACAATTAGATTACGCGGGACCATTAGAAAACCACAGAGGGAAAAAGATCTAGCTCCTAGTAGCTATAGATAGATTCTCAAAATTCCCGTCGGTGAAAGTTACGAAATCCACAAGCGGGAAGTGTACGGTGAAATTCTTGAGATCCTATATAG